TGATAACCATGAAACCCATTCAGGACTGCTTCTCGAGGTCAGATGTCTCTCTTTCTGTTATTCCTTCTCTCTCTCTTTCTCTCTCTCTGTAGCTCTGGTCCAGTTTTCCACAGGGTGAGCTCTGATCTGTAATTAGTTAGCTGTAGCTGGGCTGTGGTTTACTCTGCCTACTTTGAAGCCCTGAAAAGAGCTGCCCTGCCAGCCAGAACAAGAGTAACATCCCGTCAAACACAAGTCCCTCTCGTAAATGTAATAGATGGAATGGAAACATCATAGAAAATATACAAATAGATAGCAAAAAGAGATAATACTTTCAAAAGGAAGTTGCTGATATCATTTATCAAGGTGTTGTGATATGGTATTTGGTGTGTTGCTATGCAGTTTCTAGGGTGTTCTGTGATATATGTGACCCTGGAGACTTAAGTCGCTGGGGTATATTTGTAGCAATAGCCAAAAATACATTGTATGGGTCAAAATTAGAGATTTTTCTTTTATGCCAAAAATCATTAGGATATTAAGTAAAGATCATGTTCCATGAAGATATTTTGTAAATTTCCTACTGTAAATATATTCAAACTTAATTTTTGATTAGTAATATGCATGGCTAAGGACTTCATTTGGATAACTTTAAAGGCGATTTTCTCAATATTTTGATTTTTTTTTTTTGCACCCTCAGATTCCAGATTTTCAAATAGTTGTATCTCGACCAAATATTGTCCTATCCTAACAAACCATACATGAATGGAAAGCTTATTTATTCAGCTTTCAGATGATTTATAAATCTCAATTTTGAAAAATTGACACTTAAGACTGGTTTTGTGGTCCAGGGTCACATATGGTTCAGTCCCTCCTTCATTGTACATCTATGGGAGGTTTTACCTGTTTTACTGCTGCAAAAATTGTTCAGTCAAGTAGAAAAGTAAACACAGCTCTCCTTAACAGGCCACATAATTTGTTCTAAGGTTTGTTTAAATCCCTAACCCTAAGTATGATAATAAAGTGATGTTTGTCCTAGTACGCACCACTAATAAAGAAATCTAGGGAGTGTGAGACAGAGGGTGAACTGAGAGGAAGAGGTAATAGATATTTTTAGGAGGGGGTTTGCCTGAATGAGAGTGAGGACAGATTTATAGAGGACTGTAAAATGAAGCTCTTCTCAGGGTTTAATCCATGACGCACATTTAAGACTTCACCTGCCTTTATTTGTTTCCCTATAGATTGTGTGTGTGAGACTGTTGCAGTGTGTGTGTGTACTTACAATCAGGTAATAAAGGAAAACATGCACAGTTTGTTCATATTTACTGTTAGTTAGATATGTCCTTACAATGTATGTTTCTTTTGGTGTATTATTAAATGTAATTTGTTGTCAAACATAATTTTATGGCCTTGAAGAGCAAAGTAGGAAGGGAACATTATTAATAATTGTCAGTCTAAACAAAAGTGAGCTGCTTTGTGAATCGCTTCATAAAGACCTTGTTAGCAATGTGTTCAGAAAATGGTAATTTTCAGTGTTGATTCCTTGCCAGAACCTGCAGTTTTTTACTTAATATTAATCAAACAAGACACAAAAGGTGATTTTTTTTTAATGCTAAATATTTTTTTTTATTTGTAATGAGAATCTAAATCTGAATCCCATGAAACATGTTAAAGATAGTTCTGGGTCATATTTCACCACCAAATAAAAAAAATAAAAATAATAATATTTTGATCTTTATAGATAGCAACTTTGCAGAAAATCTGTCTATTTTTACAATCATTAGTATTTTCTGTACTTTTAGTTTTTTTTTCTTGCTCATTTAAGCACTTTCCCTCCAAAATTCTCTTTAGTAAAATGTAATTTTCTATTACAGTCATGAGAGTCTAATAAAAAGAATTACTAGAAAATAAGAATTACTAAAAAAAAAAGAAAAAGAGATCTGTATACAATTACCTTTCAAATATACTTTTATTCAGCAAAGATGCATTAAATTGATCAAAAGTGACAGAAAAGTAACACTTTAAAAAAAAATGCTGAAAATCTTTTACAAATATATTATAAATTCTAAAATATATTCAAAAAGAAGAGAGCTATTTTAAATAAAATAATATTTCACAATATTAATACTTGAAATTAATTTTCACAAAGAATTATGATGCTATGATGTCAAATTCAAAATGAAGTGGCACTGAATTGTCTTTGGCCACTAGCTTTGTAGGGTGTACCAACCAATTGTAAAAACTTTTTTATGAAGTGTGCTCACTCATGGACTTGTTTAGTTAGATTTTACCAGAATAGATTTTAATTTTTTTTATCATATGTTAATTTAAAATTTTTTTATCATTTTATCTGCTGTAGTTTTGTGTTTACTTGGTTTGTATTTTGTGTTTACGTAACTCTTGTATTTTTTCCAACTCAGATTTTGCCATGAAGATAGCCTTAGATGCTAACATGGCAATAAAAATAAAGAACTACTACTAGATTTAAGATGAATGAACCTACAGGAATAATTAGTAAGTAATTGTGAATTTCAAAGGTAATTAACTAGTCACAATTTTATGAAGTGGTAGTGTGTCTCAGTATCTTAGCACACACTCAAAAGTACATGCTTGCCCTTCACCAACAAAGTGCTGAACACAGAACAAGAATCGGGACACTCTCTGGAATCTTCCATTAGAGTCCATTGGTTCAGAGTTCTTCCACAAACCACTAAAAACCAGCCAATGCTGTTTACCAGCTATGAATAGATGTATCAACATGATGCACTAACACATGAACCGCTTTTCCTGACACTTCCCTCTTTGACGCACACAGATGATGATGGATGATATCTGTAGATCATCTGACCTGGTACCGGTGTGATTGTATAGTCAAGTCACCTTTATTTATATAGCGCTTTTAACAATACAGATTGTGTCAAAGCAACTGAACAGCATTAATTAGGAAAATAGTGTCAATAATGCAAAATATATAAGTATAGCTCACATATAATCAATTTCAGTTTTAAATCTCACATGTTTTCAGAAGAACAACTTAATTGCTCAACTGATATGACAAGAAGATGAAAAAAATGAAAGGATCGGGAGTGAAGAAGTGATTTGAGGGGAGACAGGAAGTGCACACTCATGAACTGTGGCTTCTCTCCTCACATTGCCTTCTCTGTCCCCAAAGAGGAACTCAAAGCTTTCATTTATTTTTATGATATTTCAACAAACAAATAATAAAAATAAATCAATGTAAACCCCAAACGTCTACACGTATATTTAGGGGCCCTTCATTCATCCAGTGGTCACCAATCTCACCAGGTCAATATTTGGCAAGCTAATTTTGAGAATTTGTCCTCTCTGTTGTGAAAGAGAATGTGTTTGGGAAATGTGTGAATGCAGACATCTTTACCATTACCCTGTTGAACTTGCTGTCACCCAGCCTTTACCATTAAGTCTTCTTTGTTGTTGCAGAACATTTCACTGCCAGATTCTGAATTGTCATAATGCATACTTTTAAGGTTTTGTTTTTAAAAAGTCTTAATTTTCTTGGACTTTATACTGATGCCTATCAATGTGGATACAGCATCATGCAATGTAAATGTTTCTGGTTACCAGTGCCACTGTAGAAACACCCTGATCTCAGGCACAACTATGATTCATTTATTCTGCAGCTTAAAGTGTCAGATAATAGGGGGTTTATGGCGATAAAGTGATTGGTGTTTGACTGGTCAGGTGATCTTAACATGGTTGCCACCCTTATGTAGAGTAAAACAGCTTCTTTCAGGGAACTGATATGACTGGACTCTTCATCTTATGTTGCATCTTACGTTTTTATGTATATTTTAATGATTAATATTAATTTTTTTTTTTTTTTATATTTATTTTAAAAAATAAAAATATATGCATTTTGTAAATTAAATTCCCTGTATTAGATATGTGACAAGTTTATATATGTGCGTGTGTGTGTGTGTGTGTGAGAGAGAGAGAGGGAGAGAGAGATCCTTCAGAAATCATTCTAATATGCTGATTTGGTGCTCAAAAACATTTCTTATTATTATCAGTGTTAAAAATGCTGTACTGCTTAATATTTTTGTGAAACTACCAAACGTATTAGACCCTCTAACACTAGCACTCTCTATTCTATTTCTATTCTGTCTACTTGTTTTCTTTTTATTTATTAAAAAAACTTGACCCTCTAACACTAATACTCTATTCTATTTGTAATATTTTATCTACTTGTTTTCATTTATTTATTATATATAAAAAAAACGTGACCATCCAAAACTAGCGTTCTCAGTTCTTTTTCTATTGTACTTGTTTTATTTGTATTAATTATAAAAATAATAATAACTTGACGCTCTAACACTAGCTCTCTCTATTCTATTTATCTACTTTTTTTATTTTCATTTATTATTTAAATAAATAAATCTTGCTACGTATACTGCGTTCGACTAACCGGGACTTGTCACAGCACTTACATAGTGTTGCTCTTTTGTTTGTTTGATTGCTTCTATTGTCCTCATTTGTAAGTCACTTTGGATAAAAGCATCTGCTAAATGACTAAATGCAAATATAATAACACGTTTATCCACCAAGGACCCATTAAATTGATGAAAAGTGATCGTAAAGACATTTATAATGTTACAGAAGATTTATATTCCAAATCAATGCTGTTCATTTGAATTTTCATGGTTTCCACAAAAATATTATGCAGCAAAAAAAAATTTTGCACTGATAATAAAAAGAACCATTATAAATTGAGCAGCAAATCAGCATATTAGAATGATTTCGGAAGGATCATGTGACACTGAAAACTCACTGAAAATTCATATTTGCCATCACATACCCATACATACATGCCCAAAAATCTAATATTACAAAAGTAATTTTTTCCATTTAAAACATTTTCCATCTGAAGAAATTAATACTACTACTAAAAGTAATAGTCCAAGACAGTTCCTCTGTGGAAACTAATAAGTAATTAAATGTCCTCACTTTCTTTATGGTGTGGTCATTTTCTCTTTTCTGTCTACTAGATTGTTCCACAGATGGGTGTGACGCTGGATAGTTTGGGTTTTGACTCAGAGTTGCAGGCACTGTACATGGTCGTGAGCTTGGGGAAAACGGGTCCGAAACGAAAACGCTCTCCTGACAGCAGCCCTACGACAGAAGACAACCACGTCTCTGAACATCACGCACCCGATCACCAACACGTCACTGGTGTCCCCACAGGTTACTGCTTCACTCACACAGAGCTTAGTACATGAGCTAAAGGAATCATTCCAAACCTGTATGTCTGTGTTTCTTCTGTAGAACACAAAAGGAAATGATTTGCAGAATGTCCTGGCTGCTCTTTTCCACAGAATGAACGGGTGTTGTTACGCTGTAATTTGCCACCTGTATACATGTACGGCCAGGTTTGACATTGGTGGTATCAGTTGTCATTGACTGTTGCTGTGAGCCATAACCAACATTATGGACATCAAATTTCACATGAGGCATATAAAGGCACCACCCATGTGAACGCATGCGTGGACAGCTTTCTGTAAATTTCTGATATTCATTGATTCAATTATGATTTGCCGTTTGTATGGATCACTCTTATGGTGCCTTTTTGTCATTTTGGACCCTTTTGTCTCCTTTTGTGTTCCACAGATGCAGGAAAGTTATATGTGACCCTGGACCACAAAACCAGTCTTAAGTCGCTGGAAATAATGTGTTTTTTGAACATTAAAGCATGTCAGCATATTCTGTTACACCAAATACACAAAATAATGATCTTTAAAAAAGCATCATATGACCCCTTTAAGTAATATTCTGGGTTGAATATAAGTTAAGCGAACATGTACAAACATGCACCTATGATGGAAGTCTATGGGGCAACCATTGTATGCTTACCCTTAGACTTGCAGATACAAACTGTCAAATCATTTTCTGCGGCAATTAACAGAAATGCTAAAGTTTAAGTTATAAATGGTTTTGGACCCAGGTTATTCCTTTAAGGGAACTAAAAGCACTTCTGAATGATTCTTTTAGACTGTCCTGTTACCATCAACTGCTGCTGCTGGTTCTGAGGAGCGTTCCACCTCACGGCCAAAGAAGAAGAAAGTAGTGGGGCTTTTTCGGTGACAATTCATGCCTCTGAATCAGAATAGTGCACATATGGACCCTTTAATTTTCTGAATGCTTCAAAGATATTTGTATTCTTTTTAGGTTGGATTTTAAGTGATTATGGACATTTTATTATTGGTTTTTAGTCTGTATGCCCATCTTAATGTTTCTGTGTTTTAAAAGTAATGAATAAAATATTGCATTCCTTAATACAAGTTCTCTGGCAGAGAATATGTTAGTAATGCATAAGATGTGTTTTGTGAGTTGCACATTCAAATCTGAGTGTCTACTTTTACATAATTGTTTTTTCAGTCTGTTGGGGGCATAACATTGTGTTTTACAGGATACTGACTGCTACAACTAGAAGGCAAGACAAGAAGGTCACTGAATTTGACAAATTTTGTGGCATTAGATATCCAGAGTATAGTTTGAGGCCCTTACTAGCAAGTAAATGTGATATGCTTGAGCACAAATGTATGTTCCGCTTCATTTTCCTGGTCATGTTCCGTAAAATCATCGGACTTTTGAAAGGACGGAAATTCTGACCACAAACCCAACATCCATATTCTACTAATTTCTTTGGTTTTGGCTTAGCCTTTGTTAGAATAAGCTACTCATATTGTTGATTTATCCATCACTAAGCATGACCTATTAGCCATATGCCTGCTTCTTATCTAATTCAGGCTAGAATAAGCCATAAAGTGGACCAGACGGCATGCCAATAGGCAACAGTCTGTCTCTGTGAAACTACTCTAAAACCTGCTGAATTAAATATGAAGTGAATGATGCTTTAAATCTAGTTGTAGAATTATAGAAGTCTTTTTACTGTAGTATTTTTACAGATTATTTTCTGATGCCTGGCCAAAGCACTCTCTAATTAAAATGTATTCAGCAATACCAGTAACATCTTCAAGCTGTCAACAGTGCAGTCACAGCGGACCAGAAAAAATGCGCCACTGAAGGAGACACAGAACTGTCATAATTTTCCTACCAGTATTATTTGGTAATAGTTCTGGCATTTAACTGGTGATTCGTCTTCAGTGGAGAAGCCATTAGTGTTATTTTAAAGACATTAGACTTCCTGGGAGGGACGGCACGTCATGTCTTGTCTCCAGTGTCTGTCAGTGAAACTAAACCTGACCACCAATCACAAAAAATACCCATGGAGATTTTTTTTTTTTTTTTTAAAGCTAAAACATGTTTTATCTTGCAGTATTACACAGTTGAACACTATTGCTGAATCCAATTTTTATTTAAAAATATGTTTGGGGGAAAATGGTTTCAGAAATAGTGGGACAAGTTTCATGTTTGATCATCTTTTAAATAACATGAAGTAAATAAGCAGTTAACAGCTGAATTGGCACAATGACCTTTGTCATCCAGAAAAGTGGGACTTGTTCTAAAAATTGTTTTGATGGATTTTGATCATCAATCATCACCCTTTTATGAGCTAACATAAAATAAAATAAAACATGTCATCCAATAAGCTGGTCATTTATGGTCAGCAGCTGGTCAAAGCTGATTTAGATGATGGATCAGCTAGACTACAAGCTTGTGTGGCCACAGATGACCTGGTAGACCTTCCTCAAGACCACTTTGCACCAGTAACAAACCATCTACCAAATTCCAAACTTCACCACTTCAATCTTTATATATATATAGTCAATAATTTGACAAAATTCTATTTTTAAATGGCATAACATTGTTAAATATTCTTGTAGTATTTCAACTGCAGAAAAAATATTTTTCCAAATACTATAAACCACTGTCCCACTACTGCTGATGGTCTGTTGGTCTGTCCCACTTCATCTAAAAAAGTATTCCATCACAAATATAAAATTAATTAGAAAAAAAAGAACATAATTTGTCTTGTAATTATTCATAGTAAAGACTCCGTGTCTCCAAATGATAGTTTTGTGTGTGTGTGTGTGTGAGTGTGAGTGTGAGTGTGAGTGTGTGAGGTCCTGTACGTGTGCTGACGTACCGTTGACAGGCAGAGCATTGCTACTGAGGTTCAAATGGGAGCCAGAAACCGCTGCGGGACGCGCACACTGACCGCGGCTCTGCGCAACCAGGACCCGCCTGCAGGCGACTCTAAACACGCGTGCCAAGATAAACGGAGCTTCTCTATTTATTCCCCCTGTCTCCACTTGGACTGAGAGAAAGCAAGTTTTACAGACCTGAGAGGAGAACCGACGAGCTGGCACCAACCTCACCGCTTGAGGAACCCTACGTTTGCCGGGGTGTCTTTCCGTGCGTAAAAGGATGGTGATCGCCAGGTGTCCTAATAGAATGGTCCTCCTCCCCCTCCAAAAGGATGGTGAGCGCCAGGTGTCCTAATAGACTGGTCCTCCTCCCCCTCCGGTGATCTTGCGCGGGGACTGAAGCTGAGATTGGGGGGAGGAGGGTCGCTTTACCATCATCTTCACCATCTTTGACACTCCATCTTTTGGAGTGCCCGCTGGCACCGGTTGGCATGAGACTCTCCACAGCGGCGGCGCTCCTCACCGGGTTCATCTTGGTTTTCTCGCCGGCGTACGACAGCTGTGGACCGGGCAGAGGTTACGGCAAGAGACGGACTCCAAGGAAACTCACGCCTCTCGCCTATAAGCAGTTCAGTCCAAACGTTGCCGAAAAAACGCTGGGAGCCAGTGGGAGATATGAGGGGAAGATAACCCGCAACTCCGAGCGCTTTAAAGAGCTCACGCCCAACTACAACCCAGACATCATCTTCAAGGATGAGGAGAACACAGGTGCGGACCGCATGATGACGCAGGTGAGGCAGACACGCGGAAATGTTTCCTCAGAGCAGTTAGGTCGGCTAACTGTTCATTTAATTAGTTATTAGTAGAGATTTCTATCCAAATGTACAACACCTAAAAGATGCATCTTTGTACATTATTTACCCCTAAATAGTAGGCCTATATATTAGTGCTTTAAAGGGACATATTAGTACCTAAAGTGTACATATTAGTATTACGGCCCCAGTGAGAGTTGTGTACCTTTCTGAAAGTGTAATATGTGGTTAGTTCACCCAAAAATGACAATTCTTTACTCATCCTATGTCGTTCCTAACCTGTGGCTTTCCTTCTTTTGTGGAACATAAAAGAAGATATTTTGAGAAATGCCTCTTTGTTTTGTGTCCATTCAATGGAAGTCAATAGTAACCAAAACTGTTTGGTTACGACCGGTTTTCAGAACATCTTCATTTGTGTTCCCCAGAAAAAAGAAAGTCATACAAGTTTGGTCAATCAGGTTTGAACCTGCAACCTGTAGGTTACCAACCCAGAGTACACCACCCTCTGCTTCATGCAGTGGAGTACTATTACTACTTCTACTATTTAATTTTATAGTAAAGTTGCCTTTTTCAAGATCAAGTGCATTAGTTCAGGGTACTGTCGCTTAGCCCCAAAATTGTAGTGGGCATCAGTAAATGTAGGCATCCTTGAGATAATTCAAAAAATATGACGAAGAAGTTCTGTAAATTATTAGTTAAAAAATTAATCCAAACTGACTTCACTCATAACATCTGGGTCAGCATGTGGAGAATGGTTTTTATCAGTGGCAGAATGGTGATGATAGTTCATGGATGAGTGAGGTTTAAACCTACAACCCTAATTGTCCGTCTTTCTATTTCTTTCAGTCTTCATAACAGAGAATATGGGGGCAGGTTTCATCAAATTAAAGACACATTAGTCGTCAGGTTATTTTATAACCGCATATTTGAACTTTCTCCCACGGGGCTCTTGCTCAATTTATGTGAATCAATGAACGCAAAAGGGGTGACTGTCAATAAAGTGGAAAGGAAGGGAAACCTGAAACGTTTAATTAAAACAGTGCCGTTGCTGTTTTAAGCGCGATTGGAAAAGAAAACATTAAAACTGCCCTTGTAGATTGAGCATGACCTGTGACTGTTTTAATGTTTACCCGTATGCTTAAACACGACTGCTCGTGATTAACGGCATACACCCCCTTTTCGAACCGTCAGATATTTTTTACGACGTTGATGTGGTACCGAGTGGAATTTATTTGACTTCAATCTCCCCCTCACCTAAGAGTATTTATATCAGCTCTTTTCCTCTGAATGCCCACGTGTTAATATCCAGGAGAGCCATGTGGGAACTGAGGAGGGGCTCGTAGATTTCACCCCGTCTTTACCTGTCACCTCTCCGGCGAGCGCCGCGCTCGTTTACCTGACCTTCGCGCGATTTATGAGGGCCAAACTGCGGCGACTGCTGGAGACAACCTCTGGTCTGTTTTTCTTTTTATTCTGTTATTTTTTGTTTGTTTGTTTTTGTGGCATACGTGTGTAAAAATAGTGGGCTTCACATGCATTTAAGCCTTAATTACACACATATTTTTCTCCACCTTATTTTTGATTCAGCGGCGAGTGGCCCCAGCGCTCTCATACAGGCGCGAGTGTTCAGGGCCCCGCGCCGTCAGTGCACGCGGGGTGAATGTTTGTGTAGACCGCGGTTAGTGTGAAGGCTCTCCTCCTGAAAACCCGTCGATCTCCGCTTTGAAAGCAAAACTAACAGAGTTCACGGGCTGATTTATGAAGTCCAGTTCACTTTTGCAACCACAACGAAAAACGCTGAAATCCACACTGCTATGTGAATAGGCATCTATTACAGCTCGCCCAGTCGCTATTCTTATCGTCCAATCCGGAGACGTGCTCGGAAATATGTCTTCATAAATATCTATATCTGTATTCTTATAACTAAAAACATATATTTTTCCATTCAGATTGGCATTTCTGAAATCATGCCACATGCACATATTTCTAGTTAACCATAAACTACTGAAGGTCACCATAAACCAGTCCTACAGTCTTAGAGAGGTTATCGATTTTGGTCTTTTTAAAATTCACTGGAACTCTTCAAGGTCCAGGAGCTCGTTGTTTTAACTTTTGAAATGGGGAAGACTTGACATTTTTAAAATGTCAGTTAGCTCCTCTCTCTTATATGTGAAGTGGGCAAGATGCATCTATTCGTTCCCCTTAAATCTCACAAGGGACACTGAGGGTTTTGTTCTTCAAAGAAAAATGTATCCAGAAATGAAAATTCGGTCATTCTGTTGTTCCAAACCAATATGATTCACACTGCTCTATTCCAATGGAATCATTCACTAAAAATCTTGGCATTTGCTGTAGAATTCTAATCTAATTTGCTTGTCTGCATATTCAATATCCTATATTCATATCCTAATCGGTTATGAGATGTGTGAAAACCAGAGTTTGGCATGTGATGTTAAACCTGGTGTGCTTTGTTTTCTCCTGCAAGTTTAAGTATGTACAAATGCAAATGAAATCTATAGAGTTCTGCATTGATGACATATTGTTGGCCAACCCAGAAGTTAGCACCCTTGACACAAAGCCATGTTTATTGGTATTTGGATTATTGCAGAATATTTGTGCCAACAAAAGTTTTTGTCAAGATAATCTTCACAAACAAACACAACTTTCATGAAATTTGAAACTAAAAAAATCTCCAGAAGTACAGTAAAAAGCTGAAGTTAAATTATAAGCAAAGTACACCACAGTCACATGAGTTCAAAGTCACCACCATTAAGCTTCCAACACCTTCTTTTAGTCTTAATTTAAAATCTACAAGTTGGGAAGTTTGAGTTATAAAAGTTAGCAAGAGCATGTAGGAACACAAAGAGGTCGTGAAAGTGGACTAGTGAGTAAATGACTGTTACTGCTCTGTGCAATGAAATGTAATATCCCCAACAACCTTTGTAGTCCCATTTAGCCACATATTAGCATTTTTACCTTTGTTCAAAACATGAAAAAGCATAAAAAAAAATCACGGGGAATTTCTGAATTTTATGTCGTAGATAAAAAAATTGAAAATACCTTGAGTTTATGTTAAATACAGACCTTATTCCAGGCATTTAACCAAAAAACCCATTCATAAAGCCCATTGACTTTGGGACGATGGAACTGGAAAGTCGTTTCCAGGTTTTAGGAGTCCTGCAGTGAATAACGACTTAATTTTTGATCTTCCCACAAAGTTATTGTATTGTATTGACTCTAGAAGACTTGAAATATAGTGCATGAATCATATGGACCATATTTATGATACATTTTATAATGATTTTTTTGGTATCTGCTACCCTTACATTTTCATTTATTATTTGAGAAAGAGCCGTGTGAACATTCTTCAAAACATCTCTCTTTAGATTCCATGGAGGAAAGCAAGCCATGGGTGTGCATGTATACGGGTTTGCATACAAGGAAGCATATTTGAGTGTGGGAGAGTGTATTATCATTGTTGACACTTTGACTGTAGTCTAAGCATTTGCTGTACATGTTTTGGATTCAGTGACCCTCAGAGACTCAACAAAGCACACTGGCACTGTATTTTCAAATCTCTTTTCCTCTCCCATACCAGCCTCTGGACTCTGATGGTCCAGTAGCCATACAGAATGAGCTCAGCTCTGAGAGATATCCTAATAGCACAGAGACATCGAATCACTGAACTAGTCCGCACAGCTTTGAAGAATAGCTATTGAGTGGAAAGGTAGGTCTCCAATTCGGAGAACAGAAATAGATGGTTTGATGGCACAACTATGTAGTGAGGACTTAGGATGGTGACATCAAAGAATCTCTGCCATCACTCAGTAAGCAATTTGTGACCACTTAGTTGGTGGTTATCCAGTGACCTTGCATGTCTCGTGGCCTTTGGTTGAGACAGGGATTTATCAGCCCATGGGCTGAGTGTGTTTGTGCTAACCACAAATGCGTCAGTTCTACAAATGGCTGTCAGGATTATATTTGCCATTGCTCATCGCGTTTCTCACCTAGCAACTGCTTGCCACAGGCTTTTTGACATGATCCTACTAAAATCCATATTTCTTGCAGGAAATTCACAAAGTCAAGACAATGGCCTTGTGTTCTTTCTCACTCAGGCACGCAAAGCCTCCTTCTGTTTGTTTAATTGGTAACTTATGTATCAGAGCTCAGCATTCAGTTGGGTTTAAATACTGTCACAGTATGGCCATTTACGCTACATAAACCACCAGAAGTAAATTTTTATATATTTCATTGTGAGACATTGAAATATATAATAGATTTTCCATCTATGAACTTACTCATGCTGTTAAGTTTCTTTTTTTCCCCAGACAATGTAAAAATTTGTCACTATAATCATGGTTACTGTAATGTTTTACATTACTAATTTCCTTATTAGTTCACATTAAATGCATGTTCATTATAAGTCTGGAAGAACAACAGATCATAAAACACTTGAGGCACTTGCTGCTTTAGCTACCTAGCAATGTTATTTTATTATCATTGATGCACTATTATAGGTTTTAATTTATATTTTTATTTAGATTACAATAATATATATATATATATACTGTGTGTATATATATATATATATATGTTAATGTTTTTTATTTAAAAATAAAATCTAAAAAAATTTGAGAAACAATTTTCATTTAAAAATTGCTAAGAAATTTCACAAATAATTACAAAGTAACTGCAAGTAACACTGAATCACACGTGAAATTTTTAAGTAAATAGCCTAAAATACAATAATTTGGTGTAGAAATGATTTTCACTCAGAAATTGCTAGTAAATTTCATAAATAATTCAGAAGAATCATCAAGTAACCCATTGAATTAAACATAAAAATTTGAAGTATAGAATGTGATTGTCCAATAATCTTTGTTTTATTTACAATTTTGAACAGTCATTGTTTTTACAGTGTGGTATTTTCTCATAAAACATAGTCCAATAATCTCTGTGTTATTTACAACTGCGAAAACAATACCAATGTTTTTTTATGGTTTTAGTTTACCCTGCTTCCTGTTAAAAATTGTATCACTTTTCACATTTCTGAATTCTAGTAAGTGTTTCTCATACGTTATTATTTGCAGCGCTGTAAGGATAAGCTGAACTCCCTGGCCATCTCCGTGATGAACCTGTGGCCTGGTGTGCGTCTGCGTGTGACGGAGGGCTGGGATGAAGACGGCCATCACTCTGAAGAGTCTCTGCATTATGAGGGCAGAGCGGTTGACATCACTACCTCGGACCGCGACCGGAACAAGTACGCCATGCTGGCTCGTCTGGCAGTGGAGGCCGGCTTCGACTGGGTCTACTACGAATCCAAAGGCCACATACACTGCAGTGTCAAATCAGGTGAGACAGCAGCTGTGTGTTTGTGTTAAGGTTGTGCAGGGGGAAAGAGGTCAAGCGAGAAACAGACTAGTCCTTACAAATAAAAGGTGGGAAAGGAAAGGAAAACAAACATGGTGGGATATTAGCAAGTTCCAGTCAACATGAAACATAATTTGCATTTCATTTTATTTCTGCAATCAGATGTATTTCTTAGTGAAACAGGATTTTCAATGAGAAAACAGTAGGGCCGGACTTGTTTTGGGGGAATTCATTTAATTAATAAAAGTGGGCATGGCATAAACTACTGTGCAAAAATGTGTGGTCAGGAAGATTAATACTTTTTTCAGCAAGGATGCATTCAATTGATCAAAAGTGACAGTAAATACATTTATGATGTTACAAAATATCCTGTAAGAATCCTAAAAAATGCATCACTCTTTCAACAAAAGTATTAAGCAGTTTTCAACAATGATAATAAAAATAAATGTTTCTTGAGCACAAAATCAGCATATTAGAATTATTTCTGAAGGATCATGTGACACTGAAGACTAGAGTAATAAATTACATTAAAAAATAAAATATTTAAATTAGTTATTTTAAACTGAAATAACAATTTACAATATTATTATGATTTTTTAACTGTTTTGCTTTATTTTTGATCAAATAAATGCAATTTTATTGATTTATTTTTAAATCTAACCATAACTAACAAAGCTTCTCACAGCCATGTAATGTGAGAAGAAGAGGCAAGAGATGGACTGTTAGAGCATGTCTATGGATACAGAAGGAATCGCATTAGATTCCTGTTTCTACATACACTACACACACTGTGGATTGATGAGCTATCTAATGTAGAGAGCCATGTTTGAGTCATGTTGGGTATCAGATGTAATTTCTTTGCTTCACGTGATTAGATTAAAACAGCACTGGGCCATCTGATGAATGCACACTTCTTTTTTCACAATTTCTAACATTTACCTTTCTTACTTTTCCAGCTATGCTTTACCTTGATCTTTATTTCCATGCAAGTCAACACAGGCTTCATGTAGCTTTAGCATCTACCATTTAGCTTTTAGCATCCATAGCCAACATGCTATTTATTTTTTTTAGTGATAAGAATGAATCAAACAGCAGGGGAAAGTCAGGGAAGCACTTTTTTTATTATGTAATTTTGCTGTAATGTAACAACAAAGTAAGACTAAAGTCATTCTCATTCACCCTTTAAGGCTTCAACGCAGCATAGTATTGTGAAATGCATTAACCATTAGCAGGCCCACAAACAATCATCTGCTCAGTGCATAAATGTAAATGTAATCTGTGCACACAGAATCCTCAGAAAACACCTCAGATTTGGCAGAATTGGAATATTCGTCATTGAGAAACTTCTGCATGCTTGCTTATTAAATATTTTCACCAGTAATTAATATATGAATAAGTACCTATGTTTAAACCATTTTACCATGTTTAAATGCATTCTGCAGATTTTCTTCCAAGACACCACAGAAATGGAAAAAAAATCTGCAGATAGCATAGCTGTTTTTTGGCCGACCCCTTATAGAGGTGTGATTAACCATTTTGTCTCTTACTTACATTGAATTTCATAATAAAATCTCTAGTATTCATTATCTGTTTCTGTTTTTCCCACTATTTTCTTTCTCTTTATTATTTTTTCTCCTGTCCTTCCTGCCCAGATCGTTATGCAAGTCAGCTGTCCCTGACATGATCAGAAGGAAAACTGAGTTTTCAAATCTAGCTTATATATATATATATA